ATCTCTGCTGTTATCTGAGAAATTATTTCTGATTTTATTTTTTCCAGATCCTCTTTTGTTGCCAGTTCAGGGAGTCCAGGTGGTTGAGTATCAGAATGTTACATCTCATTTCCCTTTGGGGTTGCTGTAGGTGATCTGGAAGTCTGGTTTTGAGGCTTGTTTAAGTGTCTTCTCATTTAGATGGGAGGGGGGTGCTGTTCAGCTCACCTTCTTTGTTCTGGGAGTGGTGGAATGGCGGCCCGGAAGCCCCTGCCTCTGTGCTGGGAGAGGTGGTACAGTGGCCTGGAAGCCCCTTCCTCTGCGCTCTATATTGTATACATATTAACTTTGGTTCCACATTAAAAATCACTTAGCAGAAAAAATAAAATAAAGCCCATGCCTTATTCTAATTTCTTTAGTTTTTAAATAGTATTCTTTTCCTGTTCCAGCATTTTATCTACATTATTATATTTAGTTATTATGTCTTCTTAGGTACCTCTTGGCTGTGACAGTTTCTCAGACTTTCCTCATTTTTGATGAGGCATTGATCAGAAATTTTGTAAAATATCTCTGTATTTGAATCTGTCCAATGTTTCTCTTGTTATTACAGTAGGATTATGTGCCAGTGATTTAGCTCAGTGGTGCTGCCACCTGCCTTGCAAGTGCAAGGCCCTGAGTTTGAACACTGGTACCAAAAAAAAGTAGAATTATGTATTTGGGGGGAGAAAGATCACAGAAGAATGATAGCATTTTCTATCACAGCAAACCAAAGATGTGTACTGTCAACATGACTTATCAGTATTGATGTTGACCTTCATCTTGTGGCTTTCTGGCTGAAGCCCTGCTTTTTAAATTCCTTTTTGTTTCTCTATTTTAAACTGTATCTTTGGAAGAAAGTCATTATCAGCAGCCCATACTTAAGGGAGTTATGTCCCTGTGCTGGAAAACAGACTATTACATAAAGTATTTGGAATTCATTCACATGAACGATTTGTCTCTTCTCTCTTATTTATTTATCTATTTGATCATTTTTATATTAGTATGGACTCCTTGATATATTTATTTTATATTTTGTATTATAATCTAGTAGTATTTTATTTTGATGCTGAAATTGTTCCAGCTTTGGCCATCCCATCAGGAGCCCTTTCTTTTGTGTTCTATTTCCCTTTGTCATTCCTTCATCTGATTTTTCAGAGGCAGTTCCTTACTTTCTGTCACAACAAGATGTTGCAGGTTCATCTTCTGTGTTTCTTGTCCAAGTCCTAGAATTGGTCATTTTTCCAAAGAGCCTTGGCTCTTCTTATTGGAAAATAATTGCTATGGTTTAGATCTAGAATGTCTCCCAAGTCTCCTGTATTCAGAGGTGGGGCTTTCGGAAGGTGCTTGCTTCATAGGGGTGTTACACTCATCAGTGGATTGGCCCATTGATGACTTCATAGTTGAATGTGCTGTTAGGAGATGGGGCCTAGTTGGAAGAGGGGTCACTAGAGGTTTGATCAAGAATGGCGTGTTCTTGTCCCCAACTCCTCCCTTC